CTGTAGATTTTTCCACCATCTCAAAGCCTTGTGTAGTCAGCTGGATGATTTAGAGCTGGTAAGTGTGTAGCAGGGTGTAAAAGAAACCCTTTACGCTCTGTAAAACCAGCCTCGTGGTGCAGCAGGGCTCTGCACAAGGGTGCTAACTCATCACACTTGTGCACACAAGCTGCACTGCACAGTCTGGGCTGGACATGGAAAGCAGGACACAGCAAGCATCGCTAGAGGCTCACTGTGGCTGAAGGGTTATCATCCATCACCTACAGACCAGTTTTTCTTTCCTGAGGAAAGGAAGAAGACCAGCAGACAGATACTGAAAACCAGCATGCCTCTGAATCAGGAGATCAGGTTTCTGTAACTCTCTTGCTTTGTGCTCAGGCATCTGTTACCTGGCAATTGCTTTACTTCTCTGTATGTCCTGGCTAGATCATCCTGTGCCTCTCCTGTGCCAAGGTCACAGAGGAATTGGCATCAGTTGTGCCTAGAAATAGATGCCAATAAAGGTCACTGGAGAAAGGCAGAAAGAGAGCAAGGAACATCTCACTGGAGTTTTTGACAGATGTAGGATGCTAGAGACGGTCCCAGTCTTCCCCAAAGCCTTTTGTTCTTCTGTTTCCCAAGCAGCTTCTTCCTTGAAGTTTTTCATGTGTGTGCCCAGGCATGGTGGGAAGGAGCTGAGCTCAGCTCAAATTAGCCCCTAGACGGCTGGGGCCGGTGGCATGCCTACTCTTCCCTTAAAGTGAGGAAGTACATCGTTCCCATCAGCCACAGTGAAATGACAAACGTGAAAGCCCCGCTCCCAGCCAAACAAGCGATTTATTCTCAGTGCCAGTGAGCAAAATCTGCTGTTGCTTTTGTCTGTTTCCAGAAGGTATCTTCACCCACTCTTGACCCCAGGGTGCTCTTCATTGCTACCTATGTCTTTATACAAAGTGGCAGGAGGAAGAAATGACAAAGGATGATAAGCCTAAGCCACGTTCTCAGTAGTATGCAGTACACGAAGCGTTTCTGCTTCCGTTTATTCCAGAAACAGGATCTGTTGAAACCCCCTGCCCCTGCAGTACAGTATGGCCATTGCTAGTAACAGGTCGCAGGTTTTGTACCGGGTTTGTAGAGGCTTAGGACTGAGGCTTGTCAGGCTTGGCTTTGCCTGGACTTTTATTGACCTGACTGTTGCTTGTTTAAATTTGGTTTAGCTGTAGGGACATTTTTTTCCTTCTAACCAGGTGGCTATGGCTGATTTGTTTCACTTTGATTAGGACTGTATGGAACAACCATAGTTTTATACAGATAGCAGTAACAAGTAGCTCTTCTGTGCACCATGACTCCAACTTAATACGCCAGAGTTAATAGAGTTAGTCATAGGCCTGGTATGACAGCAGAGATCTTGAGAAGTGGAAGCACAGGATGTGGTGCAGAGGAGTTGAGGCATGGGATGGGAAGAGATGGGGCACAGGCTTGACTTTGGAGACCTCACAGATACGAACAACTCACTTATGGTCAGTTAAAGAAGTGCAGATACGGAGCTGGACAAGAATGGTTTTAGGGGCAGCAAAGAGGACAAATAAATAAATAATATCTTACGTGTCTATGATCAACATATATAGTAAATTTGGATGTAAAATGGAATTTCAATCCAATGAAGAAAAACACGGTGTAAAAGCATGTTAACAATCATAAAACTGACCCCCAGAAGATTCTGAAGTAAGGAAGAAACCATCACCATCAACCTCACATTCCTCCTACTGAAGGACTCCAGATGCTGCCAGTTGCCTGTAACACAACCACCAGAATGAAACCACCAACCTTAGGACCCGGATGAGGAAGGGCAAGGGGAGTGTAACACCGGGAATAGGGGTAGAAGCTAAGAAGTGTGTTTTTAGTAACAACAACATCAACTTTTTCTGTATGGAAGTATTATTTATTTTTCTGTAATAATTAGACCTGGAGTAATAACAATTTTTTTATTAGCGTGCTAAGATTTCAGCTATACAAACAATAAATTCTTGCCTTTATATATAAGGTACATTTCCCTTTTGCCCAGAAACAGTATTTTGAGCATAACACTGTAAGAAGATTCTTGAATAACTCAGAAACACACTATATTTCTCACAGGCTGACGATAACCAAATCACTTTATGAGCTGAAATCACCATCAAAATGTGAAAAATGCACCTGCCCGGGAGAGGTCTAAAGAGCCTCTTGGTCTCAGCTGAAACAGTAAATGGTGTTTTGGGTAAAATCAACTTTTCCTTTTCAGTTTCACCCTTCAAAACTCTTCCTGCTCCCTTAGACGCTGTCTCTGTGAGTCAAAACTGATTCTGCTCGCCTTCTAGACTGCACTTTGGCCAAGAAGGAAGCCACAACAAAAACCTTGTGAGATAGAATACAGTATTTTTAGCCACAGATCAAAATTCAAAGAAATAAACAGAAACTCCCAAACTCCTAATCTTCTTCCACTTCCTCAGTAAAGCTTTCCATGTTAATGTCTTCCATTTCTAATGGATATGTAATGTTTTACAGATGCATTGTGCTTGTAATAAAATTCAGAAGAGATGTGTTGCCATCAAACACATGCTCAAGCTTTTCTAAACTCCTTGAAAAAACAATACAGGCAAAGGACAAGAGCCACGACAGCAGGCAGATCTGTGCCGTTTAATACCATGCAGAGGTGAGCAAACTATGTGAAGGACTCCTCCAGTTCTGTGCTGGGCTTCCTGGGCAGAATTACAGTGTAACCTGTAATTACAAGGTAACCTGTAATTACAGGTGTTTTCACATCCTGGACCTGTGGTGTAGAGGTGATTGCCATTAGCCCGGTGGCCATTCCTGATTCTGGGGTTTCGGCTTCCCTCTTCCTTGGAGATACTTGCAGAATATTTTTCTCTTGAATTTTATGTGTCTCTGCACCAAGTTCGACTTCTTGCTCCTCTCAGGACTACCTAAGACTAGATCACATGACTAAGAGCATTGTCCAGCTGCTCCTTGAACTCTGACGGGCTTGGTGCTGTGACCACTTCCCTGGGATCCTTATCTTAACACCTGTAGCAGGTGAGGGTTGCTTAGTGGCCATAACCCCTGGGCAAAGACACGGCAATTCCTGGTTCAGTGCCCAGCCCCACCCATAAGCTGCTCTGTAAAACTGGGCTAAGTGAAGTGTGTGTGTGTTTTCCCATGCCTGTAACACAGAAATAGTGAAATCCATGTAATTCTTAGGGTATAGTAATGATTTACTAGTATGAAAAGCCCTTGAGAGCTTTAGACAAAAGAGCCTAGCCACTTAAATACTAATTCGCCTCTCTTCCGAGCACCTAAGTCCATGTTCCAGATGCTTTGGGTTAGCAACTGGAGAAACAAAACGTGC